TAATCGTCTAGTTGATCTTCTTGTGGCATTTTCTGGTTCAAGGTGTCCTGGCTGTCCACTTCAAGGAATATGTTTTTCCAAAAAAAAAAAAAAAATTGTTGTTCTATATCCTTTCTGGTTCACCCCGGTAATGAAAAATTGAAAACGAAATTATATTCATGATGAATAATATTCTTGTTTATCGACCCCCAGTTTTGTTCCATTTGAAATATCATCAAAGAAGGACTTTAAATGGCAAAGATGGATAAATAAAATTGCAACTTCCCACTCAAAGATGGGCGTCTTACTTGTGTCAATGAAGGTTGCTTTGTCATCGAATAAAGCTGTTACATATATCCTTGTGTTCAAAAGCTTAACGACAAATTGAAGTGTAAGGAAGTTATATTCCTGAATAATATTCTTGTTTATCTCCTAGTGACTGTTGCAACATTTGAGATATCATTGACACAAGCTCTACTTTGTCCACTCAAAGATGGGCGTCTTACTTGTGTTAATGAAGCCGTTACATATTTCCTTGTGTTCAAAGCTTAACGACAAATTGAAGTGTAAGGAAATTATATTCCTGAATAATATTCTTGTTTATCTCCTGGTGACTGTTGCAACATTTGAAATATCATTGACACAAGCACTACTTTGTCCACTCAAAGATGGATAAATAGAATTGCTACTTCCCACTCAAAGACGGGCGTCTTACTCGTGTCAATGAAGGTTGCTTTGTCATTGAATAAAGCTGTTATCCTTGTGTTCGAAGCGTAACAACAAATTGAAGTGTAAGGAAATTATATTCCTGAATAATATTCTTGTTTATCTCCTAGTGACTGTTGCAACATTTGAAATATCATTGACACAAGCACTACTTTGTCCACTCAAAGATGGATAAATAGAATTGCTACTTCCCACTCAAAGACGGGCGTCTTACTCGTGTCAATGAAGGTTGCTTTGTCATCAAATAAAGCTGTTATTCTTGTGTTCAAAGGTTAATGACAAATTGGAGTGTAAGGAAATGATATCCCTCTATAATCTTGTGACTTTTAGAACCTTTCTGCATCTCATATTAAACTTGTCATTGTGCACGTACACAAAGAGAAAAGGTCCCTTTTAACCCTACAAGTCTCGTAACAAGTACTAAATTTATTTCAATTTTGAACAATTACCATTGGTCCCTGCAAATTGTATATGTCGTTTTGAATCTAGTAAGGAAATGCACATTGTATGCAAAACAGGTTTACAGGTTTATCCTTGTGATAAACATCTACAGTCTCAGAAATTGGAGTGGAAATGTTTTGAACATTTCGGTGTCAAGGAATCTTTATAAAAATATTTTTCTGTCATTGATATTTGATTCCGTACTCCGTTCCGGGATTCCGTTTCCTCATTCGAGATTCAATATTTTACGGCTGCCATCTTCGTCAGTAAAATGTGCATTAGTATACAGAAAAATTCTTTTTCGGTGAAGCAGCAACTATGTCTTTATTGCAAAAGAAATCAGACAAACACGTGCTTTACAGGTAGATGTTATCAAAGAAACTACAGGCAACATACAAAGGTCAGATCTGTAGGGAGCAACTCGCTGTCGCATGAAACACATAAGCTTATGTAAGCACACATGTGAAACGATTTTTATGATCGGCACCCAAAGCTATTACATAGACTTAAATATGCTTCTATATATTTAAACAAGATTCAGAATGTACTTACGAAACAACAAGGATCCAACCTGCATGTTTACAGACAAAGAAGATTCCGGGCGAGGGATCAATACTGTAACTGACAGGGAAATTCAGTAGAGGAATGAAGCAAGATTACCACAAAACACAAAGAGGTCAACTACATGTCTTACTTTACTTTGTAACTTCGTAACTTCATTTGATTTACCACAAAATACAAATAACGATAAAACAAGACAGTTAAACAAAAGCAAATGAAAGTGGCGAGGAAGCCCAAAAAGAAACCATGAGGCTTATAGAAATTGGGCTCCCTCAGAGTAAAAATAAAGTTAACAGTAACAGTAAGGCCAGGATCGAAAGTAAAATACAATGAAGGTAGGTATAAATTAACTAATTACATAGACTGAGTTGACAAAATATAAGGTATGGTACATGTAACAATAAGTATAAAAAAAAGATCAGACATGTGAAGAAATATAACTGTTTACTACAAGATTTATAACTAATAATTCATATATAAGTTTTTTTTCAATTTCGTTTTGAAGAAGTGGAGAGAATTAGCCGTCTTTAATATCATTTTCTATAGAGTTATAATAAGTAGGCCCTTGGAAACTGACAGAAAATTTACGAAGGCTTGTTCTACAAGAAGGAAGGTGAAAATCGTTCGCGTGTCTAGTGGCATAGCTATGGACTTGTTTGTTTAAAGAAAAATAATTGTTGAACTTTGAAGGCAATAGAGAATGGTCAAGAGAAAATCGACATAAGTTTACCCAATTCTAGCTGTCTAATGTCGGAAAGTTTTGGTAGCTCTAATTCTTTGAAAATAGGGTCTGAAGGAGAATCGAAAGTTGATTTAGAAATAATTCTGATAACTCGCTTTTGCAAAGAGACAAGACGGCGAAGATTGGTTTTGTACGTAGATCCCCAGACAATAATACAATAATGAAGATAAGGATAAACTAAACAATAATAAAGAGTTTTTAGACAGGGTTTAGGTAGAAAAAATCTTGCTCTATTAATGACACCTATTGATTTCGAGATTTTACGAGCTACTTGAGAAATGTGCGGTTTCCAAGACAGATGTTCATCAAGGACTACACCGAGGAAGACCGTTTCCTTAACCTGTTCGATTCTCAATGTCTTCATACACGAGTTTGGGATGACTGGTTAAAGAACGGAACACCTTACCATGTCAGCGACACTTTCGTGGAACCGTAGAAGTTTAAAGACGCTGCTCAATTTCGAACTGTCGTTCTGGCTGTGGAAATCGATGAACCAACATCTAAGAAATTCGTGAATGTGGCGCAAAAGAAACGCAGCTCAGTTTATTTTTAGTAATTATAGCGTCGTGTTTAATACTCCCAATACGTCGTGTTTAATATTTCCAATAAACATTTGTGAATTTTTTCTTTATGAAAAGCTAATTGAAATGCGAGGGGATTATGTATTAATATGCAAGTTAATAAGTCACTTATCCCCCTTTCATATTAATACATAATCCCTCGCATTTTAATTAGCTGTTCATTAGCCCGGTCTTCCCTTCAAACAATCAAAGCCGCACCCAGCTTTTCAGACAGTTGATTCGGGGTTATGTAATATATTCTCCCCGAAAAGAACAAAGGAATCCGAGCTTATGTAAAAATAAGGACGTCTGCTTGAGACCAGGCCGAGTGCAGCTGGAGCGGGTTATTTTCTTCACTTATTCTCATTCGCGTAAAAGCCGCCGCATGAACAAATCTCAACGCACATCGGCAATGGAGTCGTGAAAAATTTGCAAGTTTGTCAGTATTGCTTCGGAGTCATGTTAGAATTTTGATTTATCGAACGTGGGCTACTGTGAAAAGAAAAACTTATTTTTAATTAAATTTTAAAAAGTAAGTATTTTAAAATAATAAATAAAACTAAACTAAAAGCTTTTTAGACTCTGAAAACAATAAGAAAGTTGTAAGTTTTTTCAGGCATTAAATTGACCAGAATACCCCCCCAGTTTTAGCTTGTCGGTTGTTTTTTCGTGTATTTAAATAAAAACGTTCTCTAGGAAATACAAAAAAAAGCAAAACAGTTCTTCAACAGCAAAACAAAATATAGAAGCTCAAAAGGTCTACCCGTGCAAACGGTCGACGCAACGTTGTTAGCCAACAACTCCCAATATTGTTGGATGTTACATGTTGCGTCTATTTGCACGGCACCCTGTTGCATTTTGTGGCATGTTGTTGCTTGATGTTTGGAGTTGTTGCGAAAAGTTTGTCGAGGTGCAAATGGACACAACATGCCTCCCAAGATTGTTGGCCCAACAATGTTGGGAGGCCAACAATGTTGGGAGTTGTTGCATCCGTTTGCACGAGGCTACAAAACAAAAGCTTTGATTAGGCTATCCCAACTCTTAAAGGCTGTTTTTTTTTAATGAAAGCTCGCGGAAGTTGTTACAGCAGGTAAAGCCGATCTCTTTATAACCTGAATTTGCCGAGGAGCAGACATACGAAGACGGGAACTTAACATTGATGAGGAAAATTTGTCTGGGTTCTCCGAGGATGGGTCGTCGCTTAACGCTCCTCCCCACTAAAGGCCGCTAGTGGGGAGGAGCGCTGTGTGGCGACCCTAATAGAGACTAGTATTGGAGGGTGTGTTATCTGCCTCGGTCCTAACGGCCTTGGTGGCATTAAACCCTCTCCACGAGGTGCATAATTCTTCAGATTTCGTACACCTTGCTAATGAGGACAGCTGCTAACTCCCCAGCGAAAATTACAGACGTTTGACTGAGACAAACTCCAGCTGTCTGTTCTAACTCTCGTTATAACGGAAATCGATAAGCTTCTTTCGACTTTTTCGCTGAATTATATCAAATTATCATTTATTTCTTCCTCTTTTTCTCTTCGTCTTTGTCAGTTTAGTTAACATTCCGATTCGCGTTTATCATAATCCTTCTAAGAAACTACCGTACTAGAAAAAAAACAATCATGATGTACGTAATGTACATAAACTGGATTTTCTTATACCGAACTGTAGTGGTTTTTGTGTTCTAAAAATTGTTCAGTGACTGTTATGGTGAACGAAAGGAGGATGCAAGTTCTATTCTGTTACTATTAGAAAGCTGACGAAATTTTTGATGAATTCTTACTCGGATTACTCGTGTGTACTTTTGGAAAACCTCCTTGATCTTAGTTTATTTTACTATGTTTTTTTAAACTATTATGGTAACAAAATAAGCTTGACCAATTTTCAAGTAGCTTTTTCGAACCGAGTGAATTAGTTAACGCTATTAGATTAAGAACCTGTTCCAGCTCGCTTCATTAGTTCCAGAAATTTCTCCTCGACTGTGTATACCTTCGAATCTCAAACTTTAATCGGCGGACATGTTATACCAAATTCCCTGGCAAGCGTATCGGCAGTTTCTAAACTGCTCCATTCTAGCTTACGGCCTTGTTTTATCTCAAGTCCGACTTGGTTATAATGTCGCTCTAGAACTTGCAAACAGGTATTGGTAAGGTCACCTTTACATGGGTGCTTATCAACACCTCCCTGAAGATCGTGGACAAAAAAGAGTAAATTATCGCTTGGCGACACGGAACGATTAGAACATATATCCAAATTATTTCCTGCTGCTTTGTGTGATAAGCAATAACTGGTAAAGACATTTTCGTTGAAAGCCAACCCAGCGCCACCATGATAACCTGTTTGAGGCTCGGAAAGAACAGTTTCTATATCTTCGGGCCTAATGGTGTGGCCACTTGGAAATCTTTTATTATATTCTGTTAGGTCAGTGCACATTTCAAAATTCCAGTCGTAGCGATCTCTCTCAAAGTACCATGCATAAGAGAGGATGATGCTGACTGGAGAGATAAAAGTCGTGTAAAACTTTCTGAAGGCCTCCTCAAAGTTATTTGTATTTAAATGGTTTAGGATATGCTCTCTGCAGTGAGTGACCGTGTCTCGGTACATATATACCGGAAAATACGTCATAAAATCAGCGACAAATGGTAATCCTAGCGCCTGTTTAGTAGTATCTGCCCAGTTATATACCCAGCTCCTGTAGAAGGTGCAGGCGGAGCCTAAGGCTCGTACCTTTGTCCCATTAAAAATTGTGGACTTAGTTACTGGGGTAAAAAAAGCTGAGTCACTGTCCATCCAAGCAATGACGGTGTCATTTGATAGTAGGTCGATGAAAAAACTGCTCCAAAGTTGTCTGTTATAACCGGGTGTCTTAGGCGAGCCTTTAAACTCCAGAGTTCCTTTGTCCTTTGGAAGGGCCTCATAAAAGAATTCAAGTCTACGATCAGGAAAGTATTTTTGGGCAAGTGTTTTTAATTTTTCGGCAAATTCATGATCCTCTTGTGATTCTTCATCAAGTCCTACGACTAAATTTCCAAAGGAAGGAGGCCAGAAGAGAACGGAAGTCCTGAAAACGTTACACAAATAACGCTGCCTGTGATCTGGTCGTTTCCCAGACATCCTTACGAACACACTTGTTGAGGTATCTGGGGTGTGCTTTGTTATCCCTAAGATCTCTTTGTTTGTCACAGGTCTTGCGGTGCTGTGGTTGCTAACTGAGACTCGGGAGGTTTTGTAGAACCAAGGTAGCGAAGTTCCCCTTCCCGAGATCACATGTGATATAAGTATCACCATGGCGGAGAGGGCTAAAATAAGGCAGATGAGAACACCTGTTCTAACACTTCGTAAAACCATTGTCTAGTCAGTTGTATAGCTTTCTTCACATGGACTACTGCTACAAAAGAGAAAAAAAAAAATGGTAATTAAATTTAATTTTTGGCATCTCATAAATGGTGCCATGTAGTGCTGAATGCAAGACAGTCTTGACAGTCTAGATTCCACGCTGTGGGTTAAGGATTCTAGGGACTAGATTCTGTATTTCTTATCAGTAGATCTTTCAGGGGCACCCAACGTCATTTTTCGGAAAATATCTGTTTGGAAGCACGATTTGAGATCTAGAATTATCGGAACATTTTTTGTAAAATTTCTTGCTTGTCTGCCTCTCCTAGGATTTTCGAACATCTAAAAATTGGTATACCTTATTATAGGAAATTAACGCTCCATAAAAGGTATTGGAAATTAACGCGACTTAAATCAACGCGAATTTAATGGAAAACGACTTTCGAATAAAGAAAATGAACTCGAAAGAGGACGTAGAATTTTATAATAAAGGAAATTAACGCGATTAAGACACGGTGGTGACAACTAGAACAAATTTATTTCAACACTGGATGCAAAAAAATTCAAAACTGAACAAAACTGAGATGACATCACATCTGACAGTGACAACGATGAAGATGAACCGAAATATTGTAAACCTTCGCCCTAGCTTTTGTGAAAGTTTGTAGTTAATTACGTTTTTTAGGTGTCAAGAATGTCTGGACAGGTTCCAAAATTGGGGTTAAAATAGTGGAAATTAAGTGCGCGGAAATTAACACTGCACTTAATTAACGTCGCGGAAATTATCGCTCAACAAAATTCACGCGTCTTAAATTAACGCGAATCATGGAGAGTTAATTTCCTATAATAAGGTAAGGTAATTTCTGGCTGAAATTTTCGAAAAGGTAAGTTTTAATCCCTATAATTTTCGGATCACTAGACTTTCAGCTAGGAAATCTGAACAGATGAAAAATTTTTAGGAGATAAAAATATCCCCAGATATCTACCGTTTAGATACTAAAATACGTTTAATAATGCTATGTTTAAGTGGTTTTGAACTATATTCTCGTTGGGTGCCCCTGATCTTGGAGTCGGGATTCCTTGAGCCCTGGATTCGGGATTCCAAAGCTCTGGATTCCTGACTCCACAAGCGGACGAGGAGGAGACTTTTGACGCAGTATTTCGGTTGCCCTTGATATTACTCTCCCAGACGTTCTTTTAGAATACTACTGACCGGGGTAGAATTGATAAGTTAGAAACAGTTTGACTGCTTTGGCCAAAGCTGGCGAACGCTTGAACGATATTGACGAATATTAAGGCTCAGAATTACCTGTCTGAGATCACCAAGAAACCAATGTCTCGCAACGTTGAAGATTTCAAGGTTGAAGATTTCAAGGTTATAACTACAGTGTATACCGACGATTTTCAAAGACAGCGTACGTTGTTATTCACTGAACTCTATTATCTATTGCCACGATACTCGCACTTACAAAAACTTGAGATGTACGTTACGTCTTGTGAGTGGCTGGAACTGAGGACAAAAAAACAGAATTGCGTTGGAGGGACATGACGAGGAAAAACGATAGAAATGTGTTTGTGGTGCGAGTTAAACAATGGTCTTGTTGGGTTGATGGCGATTGAAATGAAACAATGGAAACTAGACGCCGAAAGGCGTTCTCAGGGCCGCCCTTGACGTAGACTGATATATTGTAAACGCATTTTTTCAACCCATACCGATAGACGGGCCTCATTCAACTGATTGCACTGTGTCTATTGCAACCTTGTCAATTTTAAAGATCACCCGCATTTTGAATTCATCGGCTCGTTCTCTAACCAATCAAAGAATATAGATTAAAAGGTCAATAACAGTAGTGTTGTCCCAGCATTTTCGGCCTGGACAAGTACCAGCTAAGTACCAGCCAATTTGTGGCTCATAACTAAAATGCGCGGGAAACCTGCTTAATTTATGCGAAACATGTTCACGCAAGTACCAGTAATGACCTCACCACACCATAAGGATAGCTCATTAATAAAATGCACAGGAAAACGTGTTAATTAATGTGGGCATGCTAAAATGTCAACTTGGCAAAGTAAAACAAAAGGATCACGAAGTATGTTCAGGCAATTACTAGTTTAAATTGAATGTTTTTATTACAGTTCTTGACTACTAAGTTGCAATGGCTATACGACTGAATTAAAATGTAGTCATTGCATCTGTATATCACCTCTAATATGTGGGGGTACAGATTACATATCACCTCTTGAGTCAATTGTAATGTGCATCGTGCTGTATATTTTGGTTGGTTTAGAAAACAAGAGAAGTTCTCTCAAACATCAGCTGGTTTGTAAAATGCGTAAGACAATTAGAAAATGAAAAAAAAATTAACTTTCACAACAAACACAAAGTTCACAAAGAAATTAAATTAATTTTAGAGTTATTTAATAAAAGGGTCATCTAACAGAACCTTCTTCTGCTATGAAAATTATGGCATCTAACAATCTGGATGGGAGTGGGGGGTGAGGTCTCTTTGAACTTAAAAATACTGAGGAGAGGGGGGCTCATCAACAAGTTTTGGAAATCAGAGTGTAATAGGGATAAAAAATTGGGATAGGGAGAGGGGGGGGGGGGGGCGGAAGGGATGTCGATTTTTCTGGAATAACTAATCCAACCAACCCAGACTGCTGGCTAACGTTACACATCTTTTTACCACGACTTACTGAATTATTCACCATAAGTTAACTCATGGCTGCACGAAGAAAAACAGATAAAAAAATACGGTTCTGAAAGGCAATTAAAGCACATACTAAAACTTACGACTTATGTAGTCGCACATTTTTTAGTTTCTTTTTCAACTTTCACAACTCTCCTTCATTTTATTTTATTACTTCATCGCGCTTTCAAAACAAGAACACAAACATGACGTCGGGTTGTTGGGTAGAGCTATAGTGGCATTAAGGACCACCTCGAATAGCCTGCGAACAGCAGACGTATTTCCGGTCGTCGAGAAGTGCCGGTTCAACTTCAAGTCTTTAAATTAAATAAAGAAAAGGTTAATTAAAAAAAAAGTTGTTGCGCGGTAATTCTTAGTAACGAGAAAATTTGGTCCTCAGTTAGTGTTTTGCAATTTAGTTTTCAATCAAAGTTTTATAACACCTCTGAGACCTCCTTAAAACTATCTTCACAGACTGTCTTCAGGATACGAACGTAAGTGTTATTAGAAACCAAATTCCCTTCCTGGAAAGGCGTTTGCAGCTGCGATATCGAAATAATAAGTAATTTTGGTTACGATCTTCGTTTGTTCAAGTGGTACGTTCGTTCACACTTCTACTTCGAAGTTCGCATAATAATCAGTTTTCTCCAACTCATTAAAAACTTGGGTTGAGCTACGCGCCTTGACACCTTTTAATTTCTCTGTTCCAAGTTGAATCAGTTTTAAGAGAATTTTACTCTTTTGATAAATCTCGGAAAAATTTCACCATTCTGACTAGCGATTTCAATGCAAAATTTTCACAGCAGCAGCCGGAAACAGTTCAATTACGGTTTCTTTTGATCCTATATTTATAAACACTCCTAAACACCTATTTTTCACACATGAATGCTATCGCTCTTTCTTAAGCACTCTGTAAGCTAGGATATATTCAGTTTTAGTTCTGGTCAAGCTCGTCACTGCTACACAGAAGAAGATTAGACCAAGTTAAACTGTCAAGTCCTGTTGGTCTATTCCTACAAAATCTGTACCCCCACACTTACACAGGAAAATGCGATTGACGAAATATATATAAAAAAACGACAATGAAAATAGGAAATCTGGATTTAACTGCTAGCGACATAGCAACAACGTGCCACGCATTCAAACTGCAATATACAAACTACTAGCGTAAGTCGCTTTATTATGTATCTTAGCGGGCAAGATAATCCCATCTGGCCTGCTCAGGATTTTCCGAGTTGGCCCCACGAAAAAAGTCCTCTTTTCGTCCATTATTATGAATCCTTTATTGACCAGCAAGGTTGTTCGCTCAAGATGGTTAGATTTTTTTCCTCCTTCATTGTTGCATTTTTATTAACCTGATCAACTTGGCCAATATTCAGCCATCTTACATATAATGCGCACTCACTTGGGAATAAAGTAATATGAAGAGAACAAATTAGGAAAATTAGCATAACGCGCTCATACAGGGAGCTGCTGAAGAATAGGTCTAGTGTACGTGTAAGGTTTGTGTTTTGTAAACCAACAATTGCAATTAAGAATCTAGTGAAGACACAGCCTTTAGAGAGAAATGAGCGCGACATTCTGCAGAAAAAGGTAATGAAACACAAATAAAATATTTAAGTTGTTTCTCGCTGTCGCGGACCGTTGCTATCGCCAAATGGCATATAACAAAACATTGAGAAGACATTGAACAATACCCCCAGCACAACACACAAGCCAACCAACAATGGTTTCCGCTGCAACACCAAGAAACTGCATGCCGAGAAAAAATGAAGGCTATTCAGGAATATAAATGCAGAATGTATAATAGCTTTTGGACGTGACCACGCTTGAGTTCTCACAGAAATGGTAGAATTTGCTGCCTTGCACTTCCCGTTCTCAATAAACATAAAATTTGGCCAATTCACGTCGAAGTTGTGCGTAAGGACGGTAATGAGGGTAGTTTGCATGGGAGCACGTCTCTTTTGGTTTGCATGTAATAAAAATTTCATTGCATTGCTTTATTTCAGGACATTGAATTAATCAACCGTCAACTCGTAAGTGTGTCATTACAGAAATAAAATTTAGAAAAGTGGCCAAAACGCAAAAGAAATAATCGCTAAATTCCCCAACTTAAACATGTGTAGTCCGCCCGTTTGCCATATACTGCGAACCAGAAGTTATTATAGCCTTGTTGATATAAATGCTAATGAGATAATTTCGAATTCTGTCGACGAGTTGTTTATGTATGTGATGTCTAAACTGAGAAATTACGTTCGACGAAATCAGCTCTTTCAGTAAATAATTTGACTTGGAACTTCAAAATGTACGAATATGGTTTCGACTTCCGCTTGGATTAGGCACTGCCGTAAATGGATCACTACATTCGACGTATAGTTGATATTGGAGATGTTAAGCATCACGTTTACGTCGAACGGCAAAAGCGAATTTGTACCGTGTGACCAAGGTTCCCGTACTGTTTATTATTTCAACATGTAAATAAGAATTGTTTTGAGCTGTTTTTATCGGCTCATTTTCTATTTTGAGAAATTCTCAACTTGAATCTGACGTTTGCCGTTTGCCGTATACGCAATACTTAAACTCTATATTGTAGCTATTTAGAAACTCCCATTTATACGCAATGACGCTGGGCGAAACGGATCTCTGAATCAGAGGTTAACTCACTAGTCCTGGTTTAAAATCTTATAAATGCGTTCTGAATGTTACAAGAACCATCGTTTCAAGATGAAACCCGACTTACCGTTCGAAGTAGATTGTGAAAGAGCAACAGATCTCAAGATATATTTTCCGCGTTCAATACCCTGCCTAGTTAGTCTGCTTCACAGCCGTTGCTTTCCCTTTGTGTTTGTGGTCTACCGAACAAACCAGTCATGTATAAGAAACTTAACAATACGTAAGCCGCAGGGCGCTAGGAGCGAACACGCTTCTCAGTTTTCGACAAATCAATCAATCGTCGCTGACCCGGAATTTTCATGAGCTCTGTGTCTGCAAGCAACGAAAAGATTGTCTTAAGCGGTTAACAAAATTCCAAGTGAAAAACAAAAAGGTTTGATAGGCCTACAAGACTCTTACCAGGATCGGTTGGTTCTTTTTAACCTGCATATGTATGACGAATTTCATGTGCCAGATGTGCTCATTGTGTGGTTGGACAGGTGAATTAAACTCTCGAGGGTACTGCATGATAACAGGGGTCTTTTTTGCATGAGCATGCGCGACCGCTGATTTGCCAAAGAGCACGCGATCAGTGACAGCGACCGTGCTGCATAGTCATAGGAACCAAATTGTTCTCTTTGAAAGCTTGCTTGAGATTGAAATGGTAGCAGGAACTTAGGAAAGACCTTCGTTGTACAAAATAGGTAAAGATCTGTTGATTTAAAGTGGAGACTGATGCGCTGAACGAGGTGAAAGAGTAAGTTTCTCAAGGTTCTCATGTCTGACACGTGCATGGCTGCTTGTTGTTGTTCGGCGCTCGACTTGTGTCTTGATTCCCCTTTAAGAACCGCAAAGTTTGGCATAGAATGCATTGCTGATGCGTAGCTATTGAGCAAAATGTTCTTTATTTATAGTTTGTCAATTGTTTGTCTATAAATCGGATGTAAATCAGTTTCTCGATGCCGTAGAGGATTTCTGTCAATAATTTGTAGATAGCTGATTTAGCCATATTTCGGGAGAGGATTAATAACGATCAGCGGGCGACTACCACGCCGTTTTCAGTTGGAATAGAAAGTTTTTGCCTTAAGTATTTTAGCGGTACAAAGTTTGTTTATAGGAAAATTGTAGAACTTCTTGCTTTTCCGTGGACTAACATTGTAACGCATCTTTTACAGGAATTTGCTTTAGGCCAGAACTTAAGTGTTCTAATGATTTTTAACTTTTGGTCGGCATCACATGTTTACTGTACTTCTTGGGAAACCTAACCGTTTGTTTCATCAAAATCGGTCACAAGATTGGACTTTAATTTCGGTCCTATTGAATGCAGTTTTGACTGTGTCTCATCGATATTCATTTTTTTTATTGTTCGAGACATACAGAGTGACTACCACCAACATCTCACCAGGTGACTAATCAACGTCTCGTGTGCTCTTAATTTTGTAGCTTTAAAGTGCTGGGAAAATTGTAGAACATATATTAATTCACTGCTGAACTACTGAACATCGGCGTTCGCGCACTTCGAACCCACTCGCTGAAATTTGCTATGTTTTTTTTTTTTAATATTTCTCTTCCGTTCCCATTTCAAAACAAAGAAAATTGAAAGTGTTTACTTGCGTCAACAAACGTTTCTGCACTTTGTTTAGACTTTGATGAGGTCAGCGCAATCCTCCAGGCACTACATATACGCGCGCTGTTGTCCAGGTCAGTAGCTCGTGTATGTTAAAGCCGGTCTACTTCGCTTTTGTTAAAACCATGTTAGAGTTTTTTTGCAAACTACACATTTTGTTAAATCACGAGCACATTCGCCAAGACCAACGAGCAAAATAATCGCTATGATAGCTTTGAGACGCGTCATTTTGATGAAGGCAAACCCTGTGGTGAGCCTCCATGCAAATCACTCAAATTGTTCGTTCAAAAAGGGAAAGGGTATGTTGACTTGAACTTCTTTTCTTTTTTCTGCCACTTTGTGTGTAAAAAGCATCAACCAATAATAGTTCTGTACAGTGACAAATTACAGTTAATAGTAGTTTTGACTTTAAAATGACCAAGTGGATCACCCATAAGCCTCTATTGCATCTCCATTAGACAAAAGTATATTTTATTGCAGACTAAACTGTAATAACAGCTGTAAGTTGCTGTTTCAGTTGCAACCTAGTTGGGCAGAACAGTAGCTATGACAATATTGTTTCCTTTCTCAAAACTAGTGCAGGTTTCAGTATATATTTTTACCACCTTTTATTATTATGTAAGCAGTTTTTAGCATTTTATGTTTGAAATGTCATTGGGCGATAGTTTTTTATGTCATATTTTTTAATGTAACCGGGATTGTTTTTTTGATTTATATATTTTTAAATAGTTTTATGTCACCAGGCAATAGCTTATTATGCAATTGAGTCTATACATATATATTATTATATAGTGTCTCCAAGTAGTGTGTAACACTAGAAAGAATTGACAATTTGAGAAAGTTACTCACTTACTCACTCTGCAAAATATTTCACCCTAATAAATTCATTTCAGATATTTTTTTCTGCAATTATTACTGGAATTAAGACTTTTGGATAATACCAATTCCTAGTACATGGCATATATGTAGCCTGATTTTAATGTGAATTTTAAAATCTCTTTCAGCTTTTCAGTGCACGAGTTAAAGTGGCGAGGGACCAAGAGATGGAGTTGATGCAAGAGCTCAACTATGACTTTGTGAGTGACGAGGAAGATGGACCAGAAGGAAATTGGATCATAAGGTCACCAAGATGGAGGTCCCCAAGGGCCAATGAATTGATGAGCCGTCTACAAGGACGAATAGATCAGACGAGAGAAGAAGAAGTGCGGCCACGTGTGCCAAGAGTTAGGTTAAAGGTTAAAGGCATGTTTATAGTGGAAGGTGCACTTAGCTAGTCAGCTAATTTACAGGCACTCCATGCACTCAAATATTTAGAAACAAATAATTCAAATACAACATAACAGGATTAAAAACCACAACTGGCAGAAGGCAACCAGTTGGCTATTTACAAGCGTGGCCGAGAATTTAAACTCGGGACGACCGAGCACAAATCCAGCAAGTGGCCAGAGCGGGACTCGAACCCGGGACCGCCGGATTGCGAGTCCGACGCGCTGACCACTCGGCCACGCTGCCTCCCTAAAGTTGAGGGACCTCTCTCAGAAAGGCCCAGGCCCAAGGTTCATATACCTTGGGCCTTAGGGGAAGAGGCAGCAAGAGGTTTTGCTGAACCCAACTCAGAGCCAGAGGAGGTGCAGATAGAAACTCCTGCAGCATCACCATCCAGGAGGAGAAGAAAAAAGATTCCATTCTTTAAATGATGACTCCGAAACTGATTAACTCATTGGACTATTTTTTTTAAATCAGTTTATTCCTTAACATACTGTGAATAGTATTCCTCGTGAGAAATTTTTCTTCCTCTTTTTTCTTTCAAGGTTAGGGTTTCATCCCAAATTTTTTAATAGAATTTTTGAATGAATTTTTTCTACTGCAGAGCTCAGTATTGCTCACATATGAATAGCAATATCATTACTATATTGAAATAACATATCATATTTTTTTCTGTTGGAATGAAAAGGTTTATCCTAAGGAAGTGCATGTATTTATAAACTAAAGATGATTTGCTAGGCAATGATTACCGTTCAGTACTGGAGGTTTCTTGGATTTTTTTTAAGAAATTTTGTTCCTTTATTAAAGCATCCCAAATTTTTTAATAGAATTTTTGAATGAATTTTTTCTACTGCAGCAGTATTGCTCACCTATGAATAGCTATATCATTACTATAAAAACATTGAAAGAACATAGATTTTTTTTTTATGTTGGAATGAAAAGGTTTATCCTAAGTAAGTGCATGCATTTATAAACTAAAGATGATTTTCGAGGCAATGATTACCATTCGGTACTGGAGCTTTCTTGGATTATTTTTAAGAAATTTTGTTTCTTCTAGGGTTTAAAGAGACAATGTCATCTCTTTTTGCAATTACCCAAGAGGAAACTTTTAATCAGTGGCAAATGAAAATCCAGGACAAAATTTTAAATGGCATTTTTTACAAATAGTTAAAAAGAGAGTTCTTGGTAGTAATAACAAACCGTTTAGTTAATGGAATCCCCGAATGAGAAAGCAGCGTTTTCAACTTACAAGTATTGTAAATATTGTATAAATGACTAAAATGTTTTTTATTAAATAAAGTTTTGTTGGCTGATAATTACAATGTCTTCCTTCATTGAACTGGCGAGACAAAAAGTAGTCCATAAAGACGTTCTTAGGGCTTCCTCACGTGTCCCTTCCTTAAGGAGAGCGTTGCGAAGCCCCAAGAACGACTGCGATGGAGGCTTGTCAAAAAGGAGACTTCTGTAATCCGCGTAGATAGATCTAAGTATAGACCCCATGTCAGAGGGGAATCCTATAAGACCAAACCATCAAACGACCCAAAAGCGTAAACATTCAATAAAACATAAAACACGTTCGTGTTCAAGAATATGCAAACTGAATTTCAGGAACCAGATATAAGCATTGCTACTCGCGATCGTATATTCTTGGACACGAAGAGTGTTCGTAGTTGTTCTACTTTGAATACTGCAGAATACCAAGTTCCGCAAAGTCATGGCCTTTAGTGCGCGTTCGCAAACGCGCGAACACTTGAGATGTGCGTTAGTATTCGGGCGTGTTCGCGTCGGGTATACCGTTCGTCACTGTCGTGTTCGCGTCGTATGCGGACTCGAAAATTTGTGGTCATGCTAAGATGTTCCAATGACAAATGATCATCATTGTTCGAAACTGGTCAAAATTGATCGTTTTAGAAAAGGAGTCGGGAGTATGCCGTCTAGAATGCTTCTTAGTATTCCAGGGTATTCTATTTGAATTCGGAGAAACAGTCCGGATTCTAAGTAGAATATTCTAGGTGTACGTCGCGTCATGCGTCCTTGAATACTTCAGGATATTATCGTATACTCCACGTGTACCTATCCGTATTCGGGCAAAGTCGGTCGCGAATATGTGCCTTTTTGCCCAGTGGTGGAAGGTATGCATACAAAAATACTGGCTCGGGATGGGATAGAACGGGATAGGACGAACACGTGCGGCCAGCTAAACGTCTCTAAACGTTCGAGAGAGTGGAGTTCTCGATCGACACAATCCAGTATAAACATGTCAAAAATCCAAGATTGTTAAC